CATCTTTTGCAAAAATTTTCTCCCATTCTGTAGGTTGTTGTTTTGTTTTGCTTATGGTTTCCTTTGCTGTGCAGAAACGTGTAAGTTTAATTAGGTCCCATTTGTTTATTCTTGCTTTTATTTCTATTGCTTGGGTAGACTGCCCCAGGAGAGCATTTTTGAGATGTATGTGAGATAATGTTTTGCCTATGTTTTCTTCTAGGAGGTTTATTGTATCTTGTCTTATGTTTAAGTCTTTGACCCATTTTGAGTTTATTTTCATGTATGGTGTAAGGGAGTATTCTAGCTTCATTGATTTACATGCTGCTGTCCAGGTTTCCCAACATCATTTGCTGAAGAGACTGTCTTTATTCCATTGTATATTCTTGCCTCCATTGTCAAAGATTAGTTGACTAAAAGTTTTTGGGTTCATTTCTGGGCTCTCTATTCTGTCCACATGTCTGTTTTTGTACCAATACCATACTATTTTGATGACTGTAGCTCTATAGTATTGTCTAAAGTCTGGGAGAGTTATTCCTCCAGCATTTTTCTTTTTCTTCAGTAATGCTTTGGCAATTCTAGGTCTTTTGTAGTTCCATATAAATTTTATTATGATTTATTCTCATTCTGTGAAATATGTAAGATCATCCTGTTCTGAAGTAGAGTCCATAGCAGAGAAGTTCTTGCCTTTTGAGACATTACTGTTTAGCAGCCTTGATTCTTGCATTACAGAATCATGCCTCTCAAGTTTGGTCAATGGTCAGCTTTGCCCTTGCAATCATTTTTGGATGTCAGCCCTTGACTTCGAAGCCTTTTTTCAAAATTTTTTCTTTCTTTCTTTCTTTTTTTTTTTTTAACTTTACAAGCAAAAACTTCATAAGGCACAGACTTTTCCTTTCTTGGAGTACTTGAAGACAGTTTCTCTTTCGCTATGGCCTAAGGATAAATAAGCATGAATTATTGGAGAGAGAGAGAGAAGATAACTCATTTTTTAGACACATAGGTGAGCAAGGTTGTGGCACTGTGTTAGTTTGGTTTTTTCCTCTCATTTAGTGCTCACCACAAATCTATGAGGTAGATACTATTATTATTCCCAGTTTATTGATGAAAAAATAGGAAATCAGAGATGATATATATTAAATACCAATATGTGAGAGCCCTTAGCACAATGCTTGGCACAAGGTAAACATTAAATCAGTGTTAATACCCTTCCAGTCACTTAATAATAATAGTCAATATTTATTGAGCAGTTACTGAAACATGCCATTCATTATTAATTACTTTAAACAATTAACACATTTGAATGTTATAACAACCCAGTGAGGTGGGTACCAATGTTAACACCAATCACAGGTAAGGAAAATGAGGCAATAAGAGGTTAAGTAACTTACTCCAAGTTATTGTTAAGTGTCAGGGATAGAATTTAAATTCAAACAGGCTGACTAGAAACAGCTCTCTTAACCACTACTCTGTGCCATCTAAAAATAGTTAATGCTTATAATAGGTATCTATTTTTTACATTTAGGTTTCTTATATCTGAATAGTTTGTTATAAAATTAGAAAACATAAAATTAAAATTAGCCCCAAAATGGGAAATGATGGAATAATGCTTTCCATTCCAATAAACCAGGATAATATTAGGGCTTCTTTTTATAATCCAATATTTTGAAATTCAGACAAATCTCTGCTATTTGGTCATGATAATAATACAGCTCCACAATTTTTATGCTTGAGGCAATTAAGGCTTTATCTACATGACACAAAGCATATTTGAAATTGTCCCCTTTTTCTATCACTTTCTTCTCTCCTATAAATATTAAATTTCAATCTTGTGATAAGCATGAATCCAGGAGTTGATGTTACTGTGGATGCCTTGATTCATTAAAAATATATATATTTGCCAGGTACTTTTCTAGGCATTTGGGATTCATCGCTAAACAAAATGAAAAATCTCTTCCTTTGTGGAGTTTAGATTCTTGCAAATGTATCAGACTTCTCATTTGAGAAGTTAGTTCACAGTCAAGAAGACAGAAAAACTACCACAAACTATCATATAATGCAAGGGATATAATTTACTTACCAATAAAGAGAAGGAAGTGATTAATTCTGCCCAGGATAGGTTTGGAGGTGTGGAAACAACATTTAAGCTGGGTCCCAAGGGCTCACTAAGCAGCAAACCCAAAGGATTCAAACCTTGAAGACTTGCTATGTACACTGACTAAGGAAATTAACTGGCCTGCCTCCCAACTCCAGTCCTTAATTTTTGGTTAAAGGATTAACTTTGGTCCCATTCCCCAGAATTAGAGCCTGAGAAGAGACTCTTGTGCAAATACTTTATTGGTGGAAATCTGTAAGGAAATGAAGAGAGAAGAGAGGCCAGGGGAAGAAGCCAGGCAAAGTGGATTCAGCAAAGTGTGGTCTCAGCCTGGTCCCATGGAGAGCACTGAAACACAAGTTGCATCACAGACAGAAACTGTCTGTGTCTGGAGTCATAGGGAGCAGTGGGGGCATGGCCTCTCAGGCACCTCAGGTTGAGGTGGTTCAATTTACATCCCCTGCCCAAGGAGCAGGTGTGGGCTCAACACCTCCAGCAGCTGGGAGATGGGGACATGGGTCTGGTAAAGGGGATCTGAGAATGTCGCCAACAGCATCTGTAACAAGGAGCATAGGACATCTGGAAGGCATGGGTAGGGATGTAGAGGTGTTGAGAATATTTGAACAGCAATTGAGGAGAGAGGTAATATTGAGAACTGGACTTTTTTGGTGTCACTTTTTGCTTTGGCAGGCCATTTATAAAACCTCAAATAGTCATTATTTAATTTTTACTTCATTCACTAAAAAATCTTGAGATGTGAATATTTTTGTTTTATTTATATTTATATTTTTTATTGAGTTATAGTCAGTTTACAATGTGTGCCAATTTCTGGTGTACAGCACAATTTTTCAGTCATACAAGAATATACATATATTCATTTTCATATTCTTTTTCACCGTGAGCTACT